CCCCAAAACCCCAAAACCCCAAAACCCCAAAACCCCTAATTTTATTATCAAATAGAACTAGATAATATAAAATAAAATGATGTTAGAAGTAAATTCGTCCAATAATCCATTGAACGAAACAAATCAGGTACATAATAAGCTTAACAGAATTTAGAGTCTCGTTATCAAGAGTTCTAAGCAGAGCAGAGTGAATAAAAGGTATGGGTGGACTCCTCCAGCAAGGCTATAAGCACAATGAGGGTGCTGTATTCTATCCTGGTCTTGAGAATTTTGGATAAGTTTGTTTGATAAAGGGGGTCTTAGATTAGCTCCGTCGAGAAAAATTACATAAGGTCTTATTGAAGTTGGTTTCAGAGATTGAGCAAATCCTTCACATCTGTCTAATTGAATAAATCTGAGCTCTTCTAAAGTAATGACAGTTAGTTCTCATAAAAGTGTATTAATACCAAGAAATGATCTAAACTATCTATACAGTAAATTCTCAAGATTCTCAATGAATTAGCTATTTCCCTGAAAACCTAGGAGCATTTGGCTTGACTTCATTTCGCACCCTTCCAAAAATTACAGAGAGATTTTATTATTCTGAGAGAATTATTATGAATACTTTTCACCTAAGTTTAAACTCCTTTCTATCATTTCCAACTGAAACTTTACTACAGAGAATCTAAGAATTCCTCAAGAAGGAAGAGAATTAAGAAGAAGGGTAAGCATCCGAAATATTTCAAAATTTCATCTTATCTAGGCAAATAGGAGAAATGGAGAAAAAGGCTTTTCAATCGTAGTTGGAGGCTGCAAGATCAGAAGAGGTAAATATTAGGAATGATTTCACTAGAAAAAGAGCCAAATAAGGAATCAAATGGAGGTATCCCTCATCAGCAGATTTTTGAAATGAATGATTATCATAAATCTAAGATCTTCTCTGATACTGATAACACTAGACTTGAAGACAGTCTTAATTTTGTTAAACAAGGTAGGAGAAGTATTAAGAGAGGAGGCAAAAGTTCAGAAAAAGACAAGAAAACTATTCTTCCAGTCAAAATTAGAGGGAATTATGATAGAAAAAGTGATGATAGATCAGCCAATAGAGCAAACTACCCCAAAGAATCCACTTCCTTAACTAGGAGCAAGTATCAAAAGCATCCGATGATTATCAACCAAATGAATGATTCAAAAGATGTGAACAAATTGAATGAATTTCATTGAACAGATGTCTTAACCCCAAAGAGCGGGCTAAGAGATATAAAAGCACTAAAAACGACGACCTCATATTACCCCAACCACCCAAATAACTCTAAAAACATCGAAGATGTCAATCTCCCTCTGTTCCATATAGAGAAGAGGAATGGGTGTACAAAGAGAAAGATTGCTCATGAATTCAACCTGAAGGATGAGAGAAGTAATAGTTCAAAGGTATCTTACCTCTATAACCCATAGCCTTCTCCTATATTTAAACCTAAATATGAAATCCATACTCAGAAGGCATACACCGACACTCTTCAGGACCTCTTAATCCCTCGGTCCCACTTCCAAAAAGACTCCACCACTTCAGGTACAATTCTCCCTCTAACCCTTCAGACTCCGGCTCATTCGTGAATCCTGGAAGGTACAAGAATGGGAAGACTCTTCATGATAAAGGCAAGTGAGGGCTAGAGCAGTGGAGTAGGATTAGGCTGTAGAGGCTTTTATGGGACTGGGAAGATTGGGAGTTGGGGGATTTTGGAAGGGGTTTTGGGGGTTTTGAGAGGGCGTATAGTGAAGTTATTGGGATTGCAGCAGGGGATTTTTGGGGGTGGCTGAGTTTGAGGTGTGATGGTAATTAATTGGGAGAATTAGATTTTGGAGGTAGATTCTTCGCTGTGATGAAAGATTTATAGGTTTTAATTAATTGTTTATTAACAATTTAGTGAAAGACAGTGGCCAAGAAAATAAATTCGCTCCTCATTTATATAAGAAGCAAAAGCTTGTAGCGGGAGCAATCAAAATTAAAACTATTGAGAGAAAATATCACAAAGATTTCCTAGGTAAGTAAACATTATTAAAGTTTAGACAAAAGAGCCCTCAGCTGAGGAATTTGAGATAAAAAGGTGGAAGTCAGGTCATTGATACCTCTCAGCTGAGTGCATGCATTCCATCCTGATTGCTTAAGAACTTTTATATTAGAAGAATCTAAAAACTCAGTTCCAGTTTCATGCCCAGTTTGTAATAAACAAATCTTGGAAAGAGAAGTAAAAATACTGATCTCTCCAGATGAATATGACAAGTACATCGCTATGATATTGAGCAAAACTCTTAGAGACCAAAAACAAAACTGCATTTACTGCTATTCCTCAATCATCAAACAGAAGGATAGTGCATCCCTTAAAATTTCATGAAATAACTGCAAGTTATCTTATTGCCTTAACTGTAAAGAAGAGTGGGAGGGTAACCATTCATGTCATAATGGGAGAGCTTTATCAAACAATTGAAACTCAAAGTCTTGTTCTGACAAGAAGTGCTTCTGCACCAACACTGAATGGCAGTCGTATGCTAAGACTAAGAAATATACCTCAAAACCATCAAAATCTCAAGTCCACTCAAGCTCTGCAAAGCCCACTTATAATAGGTCATATAAATTTGTAAATATTTTGGCTAAACCCATAGGAAAATTTCAAAGTAAAGAACCAGGCTAAATCTAAGAAGAAACAAATAATCTCAGTGCAAGGCATCAAGTACAGCTCAAGGCCATCGCTTCAGCCTCATTCTCAAGGGAATAAGGTTAGGCGAGGCAAATATTGCCTAGGGAACTTTAATGTGAGAGTTGTGTTATAACCTTATAGGGAGACACTAAGCATTTCAAATTTAACTGCCAGTGAGATATCTGTAAACTAATCACTGCTGATCTAAGCAATTCAAACTACCTTGATAATTGCGAAGAACTTCTGCATTCAAAGAATTCTAAGGTTTACAGCTCTGAGAGGAAGAGTAAGAAAACTCTTCGAACAACTGGAAATACTTTTCTCAGGAAGTTAGTTTATTGCTAAACCATAGATATTGTCAAGGAAGAAGAGAAAGACCCAAAGATTCATCATTAAAAGGAATCTATTACGATGAGGAAAATGACAAATTTCAAACAACTGGCTATATTCATCCTTCAGATGGGTCTTACGATAGAGATAATTATGATCCTTCATTTAATTTCTGTTCTGAGATGTTATCTGCCCAATACTCTGACCACATGGTTAAGAAGGTAATTTAAATATGAGGGAATATATAGCATGAATTGATGTCAGATCCTGCAAACTGAGAGCTTATTCAACAAATGAAGAAGAACAAGTCTATTGAAGAGTATACTATCCGAACAAAAAGATGGAATAAGATACTGAAAGAAAGTCCTGTTAAAGCAGAGAAACCAAATATACATAAAGCTAAATCTTTTAAAACGAAAAATGTTAAGACAGATTTATCAGCTGCAACACGGAGTGTAAAAACAAAGAAGATGACTGAGAACCCAAGGAGAAGCAAAAAACCAAGTATCAGTTGAATTGATTCCTCAAAGGATCTTGAAAATAGTAAAACTAAACCTAAAACTAGAGTTAAATAAAAGATGTTGAGAAGGAAAAGGAGGTTGTTCAGGATACGTACCACAGCCATTAAACAAACCTATAATGATTCCTTCCAAACATCTTGAAGGCCATCCAATAAATATTGCAATAAAGAATATAAATCAGTTTATAAATCTTGCATTCAAAATAAAATAGCAAGGATGATTACAATGTACCTGCAATTCTTAACCTTGGAAAGACTCTTGGGATAATATACCCAAAGAGCCAAATAGTTGATCATAACTTCTTGAGGTCCAGAGAATTCCTGTCTTTCTCTAAAGAGAAAATCCTTAGATATCTATACAGTGCGATCAACAATAGTAATGGAAAGATAGAACCTGATAACTCAAAGAGCCTGATCTCATTCCATCAAAATAGGTTCTACATCGGCAGAGGAAACAACTCAATCCTTGTCAGATCGGTGATTAAGCAGAGATGGTGGTGGTCAATGAATGAGAAGGAGGACTTCTTCAAGACAAACTTTATCTGGACACAATGGAGAAAGAACAAGCACTTATCCATACTTGATGCCAAATAAAGAATGCACTAACCAAGAGATGAATGATTTAAAATAAACAAATCCTAAGTGAAAGGGCTGATGATAGTTATGAAGAAGAGTCTCCTCAGCAAGCGAACGAAGAAGGAGCTCCTACTAGCGCAAGTACTCTTTTCCAGACCAAGATTTACAACAGGCTTGAGAATAACTTCCATCTCAGCAATAAGAAAGCCTTATTTTGGAATATGTCTGAGTACTATAAATCTATTAATAAATCCCCATGGGATGCTCTGCCAGTCACATTTCATGTTGAAAATGGGCTTTCAGACCCAGAATACATGAAATTCCTAAATTTTCAGTCAAGACTGGAGCTCGAAATTCAGAGCAAAACACGAATTAAGAATGAAGTGCTCTTCAAACGTCGGAAAGAGGAGGAACAAAAACAGAAGAAAAATAAATTTGCCAGAATGAAGGAGAGAGCACGAAGAAGAGGAAAGAAGATCATCAGGTCTGAGCCTTCAAGCTCTGAAGATGAATCTAACTCCTCATATGATTCTGACTCTGAAGAAGAGGAATCAGAAGATGATGAGTTCAAAATCCCTAAGAATATGTGGATCGTAAAGCCAGGAGAGAATACTAACAGAGGGAACGGAATCCAAGTCTGATCATCTCTTCAAGAAGTAGAAAATATAATCAGAACATGTAGACCAAAGCAAGAAGTGCAGAATGATAAAGATAAAAGTTCAAAGCTTGAAGATAATCACAGAAGAACTTTTATTCTCCAAAAATATATTGACAGGCCCCTTCTGATAAAAGGAAGAAAATTTGACATCAGAGCTTTTGGAACCATGACTTCTATAAATGGACTTCTTAAAGGATATTTCTACGAAGATGGATATATCCGAACAAGTTCAACCAAATACACAAGCAAATCAAATGATGTGTTTATTCATCTTACCAACGATGCTGTCCAGAAGCATGCTGATAACTTTGGAAAATATGAAAATGGTAATAAGTTGTCGTACCATGACTTCCAAAAATACCTTAACTCTCACTACCCTGAAGAGAATGTATGATTTTACAGAGATATTCTTCCACAAATGAGATGACTAGTCGCTGATGCTTTCAGAAGTGTCTATGGAAAAATAGGTATGAATCTTGTATAATATTTAGACCCATTCAGACGAATCAATTCATTCGAGATATACGGTTTCGACTTTATGATAGACAGAGACTTTAAAGTATACATGATCGAATGAAATACCAATCCATGCTTGGAGCTCCCATGCCCACTATTGACTAGAGTTATCTCAGGAATGCTGGATAACTCTTTTAGAATTGCTATTGATCCGTTGTTTCCTCCAAGTGATTTCTCATTTTGTTGTAAAAGAACTGCAGCTCTTCCTGCAGAAACAAAGTATCAGCTTGTCTTTGATGAAGAAGCAGATGGATCTGAACTTTCTGAACTTCTTAAGAAGCAAAAGAACTGAATATGTAAGTCATACAAGAATAATTCATAGTTGACATTGAAGAAGAGGAAGAAGATGATCAAGACGAAGGTGAGTATAGCGAAGAAGAATTGTCACCAGAAGAAGCTGGGTAATTATCTGTTGGTTATATATCTCAATCAAAGAATTTGCTGTCGGGGTTTTGGGGTTTTGGGGTTTTGGGGTTTTGGGGTTTTGGGG